TGTTGACCAGGATTGTAGTACCAGTAGTACCTCAGGTCCAATCAGAAAGTGGTTATCTCTTAACAGTCATGCCACTATTACGCCAGTGTCGGTCAGGTCAGTATTGTAGCATGTGGGGTCTAGCACTGGGCAAGTCCATTGGTGTTTTCCTCTTCTAACAGCTTGCAAAGCAATATGAAAGCTGGCTGTCAGGGAGGAGATTTCCAAGTCAGTTTGAAGTTGAGTTCTCTGTGTCCTGCAAAGGGTGTGGTGTGGTGTCTGCAGCGACAGGGATCAAGTTAGCCCAACTTCTGCAGATGGGGGAGGTGATCTCCAAGTCCCGTACCTTCCTGGGAGCCAGTGTCAGTTGGTAGTTTCTGGGGGAGGGAGAATCACTCTCTCTCTTTTTTTTTTGAGGGTGTGGACACTGGCAAGTCTCCCACTGAAGAGTGGATGGTCCCACACCCATGCACTGTGGGCAGCACCAATTGGCCTTAGTAGATTACAGAGAGAGAGAGAGAGAGAGAGAGAGAGAGAGAGAGAGAGAGAGAGAGAGAGAGAGAAATGAACATGGCAGGGGAATGTGTTAAGGAGGCTGTCTGGGGAGGTGAAGGGGAAGTTGGAGGTGGGTATGATCATATTTCACATTGTACATGTATGAAAGTCTCAAGAATAAAGAAAAATATTATATTATAATAAAAATATATTAAAATAAAATACAGTAAAAAAATAAATATCTACATGCCACAGACACATTCTAGGATCAGGCTTGTAGGGAAGAGTGGGATGGAAAGCTGGATTTGGGGGCAGCGGCTGAGTTTAGAGAAGTTAGTGACCACAAGCATCTCATACACACTTCATATAAGACTATGTTATCACTGAACTCCACTTCCTACCCCACTCACTGTGTATGTTGCTTTTGGTGGGATTTGAATTTTTGACACATAGTAATTATAGACTTAGCAGGTAAGCATTGATAATTCAATGTATGTATACAATGGGGAATGAAGAGAGGGCTAATTAGCATTTCTATCATCCCTTATGTTGGGAACCTACAAATTGTTCTCTTCTTATTTTTCAATAAAAATTGTTAATACATTGCTATAAGCGGTAGCTCCACCACCACCACCACCACCACCACCACCACCACCACCACCACCACCACCACCACCACCACCACCACCACCTTGCTGTGGAGCAGGAGAACGTATTCTTCTTATCCACCTATGTTTGGTACCCATCACCCAACCTTCTCTGTCCCTTATGCACTTCACCTTGATGAATGGCATTGCCAGCCCTCCACTCTCTCAAGTCAGAATGCAGAAGCCCAGCCATCCTGGTATGACTGAGACGGAGGAATTTCACAGAACACTGGACTCCGGTTTTCAAGTAGTAAAATTCTAGGACAAATTATGCACACTAGGACAAGTTTTCCCCGAGTTCTTTTCCTTTTAATATTTTTTGAGATTATAGTATAGTTAAATATCTTCCCCTTCTCTTTCTTTCTCCCAGACCCCACACCCCCACCATGTGCTCATCCACCTTACTCTCTTTAAAATTCCAGGCATCCTTTTCTTTAATTGGTGTTGTTGTTGGTGGTGGTGTTGGTGTTGGTGGTGGTGGTGGTGGTGTGTGTATGCCACTATGCTTATGTGGAGGTCAGAGGACAACTTGTGGGAATCAGTTCTCTCCTAGACCACGTGGGTCCTGGGGATCAAACCCAGGTCTTCAGGCTTGATGGCAGGCACCTTAATCCCCTGAGTCATTGCACTGGCCTTGTCTGTTGCATTTTCGGCCTTATTTGATCTCTAGAGCAAGCTGCAGAGATAAGGATTAGTATCTTCATTTTCAGTTGAGGACACAGGCTGAGACATGATAAGGAACTTGCACAGAACTGAAAGTCAAAAAGTGAGGACAGGAGCTAGGAGAAGAGGGCGCACATGCCAGGTACAACAAATAGCCAAGCATCAGAAGCCTCCTAAGAGGAGGCGCACCGGCACCTGAATTGGGACCACACAGACTAGGACGTGCTCCACATGTCTCTCCGCATCCAGAGAGAAGGCTAGCCATCTTCTTTCTCTGCCAAGTGCACAGCCCCTGATTGGATCAGTCTTGCTTTTTTAGGACCATGGCATCAAGACAGGAAAATGAGAACAGAGACAGACCAGGGGTTCTAATAACACTGGCACTGAGCAGCCAGACGTAGAAAAGAGAAAAGACGACACTTCTCAGGCTGAGTGTGGTGGCACATACCTATAAATCCCAGGACTTGGGAGGCAGAGGCAGAAGGAATGTCCTGAGTTCAAGGCCGGGCTAATTTACATGGAGAATTTCAGACAGAATTACAGGGTAAACCTCTGCTTCAACATGAATCCTTTGTTTGTTTAAAACAAAAGCCGAAACAAAACTTTCTCATGGTGTGACTACCCTTCAGTTCAGAATATGCTGAGTTCAGTTCCCAGCACCCACATTGGGAGGGTTGTAATTTCCTGTAACCCCAGTTTCTGCTTGTTGAGCTCAGTTTTGTAACAGTGACATTGATGGCATCGTCAGGACGATGATTATCTTATTGCTACAGCAGGGTCACATGGTGAGTGGCATAGCATCCAGGCAGATGGGGCCTAAGAACCAAGAACAGAAAGGGTGAAGGCCTTCACAAGAGCAGAGAATTTGTCACTTGCCAGGTGCTAGAGCCCACACAAACAGGGCAAGCTACCTCCCAGGCCTCCGGGGGGGCCCCTAGCTTAGTGGAGGTGACAGACAGCTGCAAAGACCTCACTGTGATGCAGTGAGGGGATCAGCGTCCCCTCATTGGGGGAGGGGCTCTGTATGGCTTGATGAAGAGGTTTATGCTGTCAAATGAGCTCCCCTGGTGGGAACAGCAGCGGAACCAAATCTCGGGGAAGAGAAAAGTCAGAGGGAGAAGACCCTCCAGAAGGAGGGACCTGGGTAGGCAAAGATGTCAAGTCAAGAAAGGCTGGAGAGATGGCTCAGGGGTTAAGAGCACAGGCTGCTTTTCCAGAGGTCCCGGGTTCAATCCCCAGCACCCACATGGCAGCTCACAATTGTCTGTAACTTTAGCCCCAGGAGATCTGAACCCTCTCTTGGCTTCTTTCACTTAAATAATTTTATTTATTTATTTACTTATTTATTTTTGAGACAGGTTGGCCTCAGATTCATTGGTAGTTGAGAATAACCTTGAACTCCGGATCCCAGTCTCCACCTCCCATGTGCTAGGATAAGGGGGATGCACAGCCACACCTGGCTCAGATGTGTCTTTTGATAACCTGTGCTGGAGGACAGGGTTGGGGTTGGGAGGGACATGAACCTGAGCTGTCATCTGGGAAATGCTGCAAAGCATAGCTGTTCCCAGCCCAGCTGGCCTGTTTCATTTGGGTCCTTAACTCTGCACCCCAAGCTTCAATTTTCCTAGCTTGAAAGAGGCGATGGTAAACCCTTGGAATATTTTGGAAGAAAAATCGTTACGCGGGTAACTCAAAGTAGACGCTTGGAAACAGGAATTATGGCAACAGCTTGGGTAAGGGATGGTGACGCCAGAAGTGAGGAAGCGGTGGGGTGGGGGTCTGGGGAAAGCACAGGAGAAACTGCAGACGGCGCCGTGGAAGATGGTGGATCACATGGGAGCGGGGGCATGAAGACCCCAGGAATCTGCCATGTCTTAGTTAGGGTTCCTGTTGCTGTGCTCAACGTGATGTCCAAAAGCGACGTAGTAAGAAAGAGTTTATTTCACCTTACACGTCTCGGATAACACTCTGTCACTGAGGGAACTTGGGGCAGGAACTGAAGCAGAGACCATGGAGGCGTTCTGCTTACTGGTGTGCTCCTCATGGCTATCTCCGCCTGCTTTCTTGGCTCTCTGGACCACCTGCCCAGGGTGATACCACTCACAGTGAGCGGGGGGCCTCCCACATTAATTATCCATCAAGAAAATGTACCCCTTACCTATAAGCCAGTCTGGTGGGGGGCATTTTTCTCAGTTGAGGTTCGTCTTCCCAGGTAGCTCTCATGGTGTTGAGTTGACATAAACTCAGCTTGATTTTGATTATTTTTGCCCACACAGCACAATGGATGGAGGATTTGGGAGAGAGAGAAGGCTCCAGAAGAAATAATATACGGTGTTAGGAAGAAGAGGAAAATGGGAACAGATGTGAGATGGAAAAAGAAACCGAAGCTCCCAGGGTCACAGTCCTCTTCACTGGCATAACAACCAGCACGTCTACTCACCCAGTTCTCCATTAACTGATAAGGGGCTGCCCAAAGCTTCTCTGAGTGTGACTTTCCACCTAGGCATGTAATATAGGTTGAGTTCACAACAAAAATAGGAGAGAGGTGTAGGAATAAAATTTATCAGTTAATAGGCTGGGTGGTGGTGGCACACCCCTTTAATCCCAGCACTCGGCAGGCAGAGCCAGGTGGATCTCTGTGAGTTCGAGGCCAGCCTGGTCTACAAAGCAAGATCCAGGACAGGCTCCAAAACACCACAGAGAAACCCTGTCTCGAACCCCTGCCCCCCCCCCCCAAAAAAAAGAATTTATCAGTTGATGAGTGTGGTGATATTTTATTTGTGCTTTAACAAATAAAATTTATCTGGGGATCAGAGAACAGAGCCAGCCACTAAATTAGACATAGAGGCCAAGCAGTGGTGGCACACACCTTTAATCCCAGGATTTGGGATCTCATGTCTTTGCTTGGGAAGGACACCACGCCTTTAATCCAGGAAGTGATGGCAGGAAGCAGAAAGGTATGTAATGCATGAGAACCAGGAACTAGAGTCTTTTAAGCAAATCATTTGAGACCCTCGGGGTGAGGATTCAGAGGCTATCAGTCTGAGTAAACAGGAACTCACTCTCTTGAGGCTGAGGATTTCATAGAGTAAGATCGTGGTGCTTTGGGGGCCCTCCTCCAGGTGCAGCCAGAGCCCCTTGCCTGCCTGCCACCCTCGAGGCACCGCTACCTCGCCCGGCCTCGCCACCCCCGCCAGCATCGCGGCTCCAGGGACCATGGAGAAAAAGAGCGGCGAGAAAGGTATCTGTAGCGTGTCTGGCGACGAAAAGAAGGGTCCTCTCATAGTATCCGGGCCCGACGGTGCTCCGGCCAAGGGCGATGTCCCTGCGGGCCTTGGGGCGCCCGGCGGCCGCCTTGCTGTGCCGCCTCGAGAGACCTGGACACGCCAGATGGACTTTATCATGTCATGCGTGGGCTTTGCTGTGGGCCTGGGTAACGTGTGGCGCTTCCCCTACCTGTGCTACAAGAACGGTGGAGGCGTGTTCCTTATCCCCTACATCCTGTTCGCGCTGGTTGGAGGAATCCCCATTTTCTTCCTGGAAATCTCACTGGGCCAATTCATGAAGGCCGGCAGCATCAACGTCTGGAACATCTGTCCCCTATTCAAAGGCCTGGGCTATGCCTCCATGGTGATTGTCTTCTACTGCAACACCTACTACATCATGGTGCTGGCCTGGGGCTTCTATTACCTGGTCAAGTCATTCACCACCACTTTGCCCTGGGCCACGTGTGGCCACAGCTGGAACACTCCTGACTGTGTGGAGATCTTTCGCCGTGAAGACTGTGCCAATGCCAGCCTGGCCAACCTCACCTGTGACCAGCTTGCTGACCGTCGGTCCCCTGTCATCGAGTTCTGGGAGAACAAAGTCTTGAGGCTCTCCGCGGGGCTGGAGGTGCCTGGGTCCCTGAACTGGGAGGTGACCCTATGCCTGCTGGCCTGCTGGGTGCTGGTCTACTTCTGTGTGTGGAAGGGGGTCAGGTCAACAGGAAAGATCGTGTACTTCACCGCTACATTCCCCTATGTGGTCCTCGTCGTGCTGCTGGTACGAGGGGCGCTGCTGCCTGGAGCCCTGGATGGGATCGTCTACTATCTCAAGCCTGACTGGTCGAAGCTGGGGTCCCCTCAGGTATGGATAGATGCCGGGACCCAGGTTTTCTTCTCTTACGCCATCGGCCTGGGGGCCCTCACAGCCCTAGGTAGCTACAATCGCTTCAACAACAACTGCTACAAGGACGCCATCCTCCTGGCGCTCATCAACAGTGGGACCAGCTTCTTTGCTGGTTTTGTGGTCTTCTCCATCCTGGGCTTTATGGCCACAGAGCAGGGTGTGCACATCTCCAAGGTGGCAGAATCAGGGCCTGGCCTGGCCTTCATTGCCTACCCCCGGGCTGTCGCACTGATGCCTGCGGCCCCACTCTGGGCTGGCTTGTTCTTCTTCATGCTGCTGCTGCTCGGTCTGGACAGCCAGTTTGTAGGGGTGGAGGGCTTCCTCACCGGGCTCCTGGATCTCCTCCCGGCCTCCTGCTACTTCCGTTTCCAGAGGGAGATCTCCGTGGCCCTCTGCTGCGTCCTCTGCTTTGTCATCGATCTCTCCATGGTGACCGATGGTGGGATGTACGTCTTCCAGCTGTTTGACTACTACTCAGCTAGCGGCACTACCCTGCTTTGGCAAGCCTTTTGGGAGTGTGTGGTGGTGGCTTGGGTTTATGGAGCTGACCGCTTCCTGGATGACATTGCCTGTATGATTGGGTACCGACCTTGCCCCTGGATGAAATGGTGCTGGTCCTTCTTCTCCCCATTGGTCTGCATGGGCATCTTCATCTTCAACGTTGTATACTACGAGTCGCTGGTCTACAACAATACCTACGTGTACCCATGGTGGGGCGAAGCCATAGGCTGGGCCTTTGCACTCTCTTCCATGCTGTGTGTGCCCCTCCACCTCCTGGGTTGTCTCCTCAGGGCAAAAGGAACCATGGCAGAGCGCTGGCAGCACCTGACCCAGCCTATCTGGGGCCGCCACCTCTTGGAGTACAGAGCTCAGGATGCAGATGTCATGGGCTTCACCACCCTGACTCCAGTGTCTGAGCGCAGCGAGGTCGTCATGGTGGAGAGTGTCCTGTGACAGGCACCCCCAGTTCATATCACCTGCTCATCCTGTGGCAGCTGTGGCAGCACCCGCTTTAGCCTCTACCCATCCCACCAAGTTTGGGGGTCTGCCTGGGCCGGGGAGGGGAGGAAGCACCATAAATGCTAACAAAAATAACTTTTTCCGCCGGGCGGTGGTGGCGCACGCCTTTAATCCCAGCACTTGGGAGGCAGAGCCAGGTGGATCTCTGTGAGTTCGAGGCCAGCCTGGTCTCCAAAGCGAGTTCCAGGAAAGGCGCAAAGCTACACAGATAAACCCTGTCTCGAAAAACCAAAAAAAAAAAAAAATAATAATAATAATAACTTTTTCCATTTTTAATAAAATGCCAAAAATGTCACCACCCCCCCAATATCTTGGTGAAGAAGAATGGAACCTGTTGCATTGGCAGACTTGGTCCTGGCTGTGAGACACGATTCTGCCACAGATACAATTGACATTGCTCCACACCACAGAGTAGGGCACACACAAAATTCTGCAGGGAACCATGACCGTGCCTAACAACGACTTTGAAACCCCCCAAAAGATGATGGGATCTCACCACAATGATCCCACACGGACTATGATAAAGCCATCAAGCTGATTACCACCACCCAGAGATCGGCTTTGGACTATAAGCTGCTCAGAACAATGTTGAGATGACTAGCTAAGATCCCCATGATGACGATTTCATCAGGATGATGATAATACCACTAGGATGACAAACACTATCCAAAGACCAGCTTTAGACTACAAACCACTCAGCACAATTTTGAGATGGCTAGCTGAGATGATCCAGCCTCACAGACCTTCTTGAGCAAGGACTTGAGACAAACCCTGCATTTTCACATTATGCAGAGACTGGACAACAAATGATACAGCTACCTCTCCCAGGACTTGACAATTAACTCAAAAATATTCTTTTCAGGATCCTCTAAAGATGCCTTTGCCTCCAGACAGCAGGGAGTAATTTAAGATCATGAGACCCACATTCCTAAGAGGTAGGGTGGGTGGTTTTTGGTCTTTCAATGGGTTTTGGATAATTGTCATTGTTTAGGATGGTTGGTTATAAGTTGTTATTGTTAATGGTCAAGAAAAAGGCTAAACAAAGGAGATTAGATTTAAGGTTCTTGTTTGAAAAAAAAGAGCTAGATAAAAGGTAGATTATTGATTCTACTCTAAAAAAGATATAGAAATGATAGAATAAAGAGTAGATTATTGAATCTACTCTGAAAAGAAAAAGGAGAATATAGGTATGATAAGATAAAAAGGTAGATTATTGAATGTACTTTTAGAAAGCAACTACTAGTTTTAAACATTTTACATTGGATTGGGTTTTTCTATATTGTATACAAATTTTGTATTGGACTCACCAAAATAGAATAAATAATAATTTTTTGTCTGAATTTGTGAAATGCTAATGGACTGGACATTGTTAATGTGATTTTTGGCTGTATATACTTATTGTACTTATTGTATATATATATAGTATATAAGTTTTCTTATATTAGTTATAATTTTGTTTGTTTGTTTTTTGAGACAAGATTTCTCTGTGTAGTTTTGGATCCTGTCCTGGAACTCACTCTGTAGCTCAGGCTGGCTTCAAACTCACAGAGATCCGCTTGCCTCTGCCTCCCAAGTGCTGGGGTTAAAGGTATGAGCCACCACCACCCAGCAGTTACACATTTTTTAAAAAAAAATTTTAGACAAAAAAAAAATGGGAAATGTGCTATTTTGTTTGTGCTTTAGCAAATAAAATTTATCTGGGGATCAGAGAACAGAGCCAGCCACTAAATTAGATATAGAGGCCAGGCAGTGGTGGCACACACCTTTAATCCCAAGACTTGAGATCTCACGTCTTTGCTTGGGAAGGATGCACACCTTTAATCTCAGGAAGTGATGGCAAGAAGCAGAAAGGTATGTAATGCATGAGGACCAGGAACTAGAGGCTTTTAAACATTTCATCAGAGACCTTCGGGGGTGAGGACTCAGAGGCTTTCAGTCTGAGGATTCATGGAAACAGGATTGGCTGAGGAGTTGGAGAGGTAAGGTTGGCTGTGGCTTGTTCTGTTTCTCTGACCTTTCAGCCTTCATCCCAATTACTGGCTCTGGCTTTTTTCTATTAATAAGACCTTTTAAGATTCGAGTTACAGCCGGGCGGTGGTGGTGCACGCCTTTAATCCCAGCACTCGGGAGGTAGAGGCAAGCGGATCTCTGTGAGTTCGAGGCCAGCCTGGTCTACGAAGCGAGTTCCAGGAAAGGCACAAAGCTACATAGAGAAACCCTGTCTCGAAAAA